AAGCTGGTTAATCACTAACTTCATGAACTTTTCAAAACAAGCAAGATAAAAGACACATCTGTGACCTTTGGGAACATGCACGACGTGGCAAGTTTGGAAAAGGGCACAATGATGATTAAAAGTAACTGAAAAATTGGACCAGTGAAATGAAATTGGCTTGTGGAGAACTAGTTGTGGCTACCTATTTTAGGTTACATATTCAGACTTTTGACCAAGACAAAATAGTGTACCATAGATAATTCTGCTCTGAATGGAATAGGAAGGAATTAGGAGTTAGGCAAGGGAGAATTCAGTGTAACTTCGGTTCCATTCAGTTACTATTCACTAATGCCTATGATTTGCTGGGAACTGGCAATACAGAGATTTTTTTTTTTTTTTTTTTTTAAGAAAAAGTATGGTATCTGCTCTTAAGCTGTTGACATTTAGTAGGGTTTCACAGAATAGGAGTTTCCTGAAAGGGCTGGGTCTCGAAGGGAGAAATGGAGCTTGCTAAGGTGGAGGTATTCTGGACCCAGGGTGCAGCAGTGGCAAAGGCATAGAGGTGTGAGGTGGCATTCTGTGCTCTGAGGACTGCACAGAGTCTGCTTGCTGGAGCTAAGGTTCCATTCCTTGTTCATATATTATGATTCCTCTAGTAGGCTGTCTTTTCAATTTAGACTCTCCACACCCTCCCTTTCACCCTCACTCTCTGCTGATTACTTTGCCTTATGCTTTGTTGAGAAATAGAAGCCATTAAACCCAAACTGCCTCAACTTCCATCCAAGACCTACAGACCCACTACACTAGAATTACACCCATCTGATCCTCTTTCTTCGCTTGAGTCTCCTCGTCCTGTCACAGGCTACAAGATTTCTCTCCTTCCATCTCCTTGCTCCAGGTTCCTCACCATCATCAGGCATACCTGTTCTGATTTGTTCATCTTAGATGAAACCCAGCCTTTCTAAAAATCCTGATGTGCTACAGGATGGATGATCCTTGAGAACATTATGCCAAGTGATATGTCAGTCACAAAAAGACAACTACTATATTATTCCACTTAGAATCATAGTACCTAAAGTAGTCAAAATTATAGAGACAGAAAGTAGAACGGTGGTTGCCAGGGGTTGGAAGCAGGGGAAAGTGGGGAGTTACTCTTTAATGGGTAGAGTTTCAGTTTTGCAAGATGAAAAGAGTTATGGAGATGAAAGGTGGTGATGATTGCACAACATTATGACTGTATTTAATACAACTAAACTGAACCCTTAAATATGGTTAGTATGGTAAATTTTATGTGTATTTTAACACAATAAAAAATTGGAAAATAAAATATGTTTTAAAAGTTATAGAACTCTCATATGCCCACATCCAGGAGGAAATGCTACATTTCTTTCTTTCTTTCTTTCTTTTTTTTTTGAGACAGAGTCTTGCTCTGTTGCCCAGGCTGGAGTGCAGTTGTCTCCTGGGTTCAAGTGAATGCTTATGCCTCAGACTCCTGAGTAGCTGGGATTACAGGCGCAAACCGCAATGCCCAGCTAATTTTTGTATTTTTAGTAGAGACGGGGTTTCAATATGTTGGCCAGGCTGGTCTCGAGCTCTTGACCTCAGGTGATCCACCTACCTTGGCCTCCCAAAGTGCTGGAATTACAGGCGTGAGCTACCACGCCTGCCCAGAAATGCTACATTTCTTTAAGAGATTAGTCAAAATAAAGATTTCATCTTTATCCTTCCCCACCAAAAAAAATACAAAAACAAAAACAAAAAAACCCACAACTCTTGATACCACCACATTCCTCTCCAGAGACCACCTCATTTTACTGTTCCACTAAAACTAATGTCTCAAAAGAGCCACGCTGTGTCTATTTCCCTCTTCTGTTCACTCTTCAATTCACTATATAATCTGACTTCCACCCACTGAAGACTGCTTTTGTCAAGGTCATCTGTACTCTCCATGTGCCACATCTAGTGGGTACTTGACCTTCGGGCAGCATTTGACAGTTTGCCCCTCCTTCCTGAAATCTTGCTCCCGGCTCCTGTGACACCATTCTCTTCTGGTTTTCCTCTCGCATCACTGGCTGCTCTTTCCCTTCTGTCCCTGGCTTCTGAGTATTGGAGGTCTAAAGGGCATTGTCCAGGGCTCTCTTGTTTCTCTATAATTCTCTTATAGTCCCTGCCCAGGGATTTAAATGCTTTCACTATGCTGATGATTACTCCATTTTATCTCTAGCTGGCCCTCTCCACTGAGCTCCAGACTCTCATATCCAATGGCTTTCTTGTTTTGTAAGATATTATACTTACTGTGCCTTAAACAGAACTTGGATCCCCTCTATTCCCACTACATTCCTCCTTGTCCTAGTAATGGCATTTCCATCACCAAGTTATTCAGGCCAAATGCCTGGGTAATCCTTGCCCTTTCCTCTTTATATCTCCCTCACCCGCACAGCAAGGCTTGTGGATTCTATTTCTATTTTGAATCTATCCCCACTCTCTATCTACTGGCAGACTGCCTCTGTAGTCCAAGCCACCATCACCTCCTATCTGGACTATTCCAACAGCCTCCTAACTAGTGCCCACTCCTCTTGCTCCTCTCCATCCTCATTCATTCAGCACACTGTTGTAAGAATAATCACAAATCAAATAATTTCACTTCCCTGTTACCATTTCTGTGGATTTCCAAATTCCCTACTTTGGCTTGCCTGCATCATCATTTGGCCTGCCTTGTTCTCCAATTTCATTTCATGTCACTCTCCCCACACCTACTGTATTGTAGAGACTCTGGTCTTCCTTGACTTTCTTTTAACATGCTCCTGTCTCCCTCAGGATCTTTGCAGTTTCCTCTTTGAATGGCTAGCTCCTTTTCTTCCTTTAATAAGGTCTTAGAGGTCATTCCTTGACTGTCCTTCCTAAAGTAGGTTCCTTTTTTTTAATTTAAAATTATTTTTTATTGATGCATAACTGATGTACATAGTCTCAGGGTACAAGTAATAATGTAATACATTCATGTAATTTGTGAAGATCAAATCAGTATACTTGGGATATCCATCATCTTAAATATTTGTCTTTTCTTTATTTTAGAAACATTTGAATTATTCTCTTGAATTATTCTCTTTTTTGCTGTTTAGAAATATAAATGCGGCCGGGCGCGGTGGCTCAAACCTGTAATCCCAGCACTTTGGGAGGCCGAGACGGGCGGATCATGAGGTCAGGAGATCGAGACCATCCTGGCTAACATGGTTAAACCTCGTCTCTACTAAAAAAAAAAAATACAAAAAGCTAGCCGGGCTTGGTGGCGGGCGCCTGTAGTCTCAGCTACTTGGGAGGCTGAGGCAGGAGAATGGCGTAAACCCAGAAGGCGGAGCTTACAGTGAGCTGAGATCCGGCCACTGCACTCCAGCTTGGGTGACACAGCGAGACTCCGTCTCAAAAACAAATAAATAAATGTATAGTAAACTATGGTCACCCTACTCCTCCGTTTCATAATACTTGGTACAGTTTGCAGTTATTTTGTGTTCACTTCTTTTTCTCCTCCACTGGAAGAATATAAACTCAGTGAGTGCAGAGACTGGGTCTGATCTGTTCACCGTCATATCTCCAGTGTTTTGAAATGTCTTGCTTGGCATGTAGCAAGAAGTCATTAAATATTTATGAAATGAGGCCAGGCACGGTGGCTTACATCTGTAATCTCAGCACTTTGGGAGGCCTATGTGGGAGGATTGATTGAGCCCTGGAGTTTGAGACCAGCCTGGGCAACATAACAAGGCCCCTGTCTGTACAAAAAATTTTAAAAATTAGCTGGGCATGGTGGCATGCGCCTATAGTCCCAGCTTACTCGGGAGGCTGAGGCAAGATTGCCTGAGCCCGGGAGTTTGAGGTTACAGTAAGCTATGATTGGACCACTGCACTCCAGCCTGGGTGACAGAGTCCCTGTGAGAGAGAGACAGAGAAAAAAAAAGTATGAAATGATAGAAGGAAAAGGGAAAGAGAAAGGAGCACTTTTTTTTTTTTTTTTTTTTGGACAGGGTCTAACTCTCTCACCCAGACTGGGGTGCAGCGGTGTGATCATAGCTCACTGCAGCCTCTATCTCCCAGGCTCAGGTGATACTTCCGCTTTAGCCTCCTGAGTAGCTGGGACTACAGACACATGCCACCGTAATAGAGTTAATAAATAACTTACTTATTTATGTAGAAATGGTCTGGTTCCATCACCCAGGCTCAAGCGATCATTCCACCTCAGCCTCCTGAGTAGCTGAACTACAGGCAGGCACCACCATACCAGGCTAATTTTTGTATTTTTTGTAGAGTTGAGGTTTCGCCATGTTGCCCAGGCTGGTCTCAAACTCCTGAGCTCAAGCGATCTGTCTGCCTTGGCCTCCCAAAGTGCTGGGATTACAGGTGTGAGCCACTGCGTCCAGATAACTATGTTATTTATTTTTTTGTTTCTAAATTGTCTCCTCCACTAGCATGTAAGATTCATGAAGGTAGCTTCTTTGGTTTACTGTATTTTCAAGAAAAAATTCTAGCTCCTAATGAGCTGATTATGTGTTGAAAAAATGGGAAGAAGAGCTTAATTGTTTGTTTGTGACGGAGTTTCACTCTTGTTGCCCAGCATGGAGTGCAATGGCGCGATCTCGGTTCACTGCAACCTGCGCATCCTAGGTTCAAGCGATTCTCTTACCTCAGCCTCCTGAGTAGCTAGGATTACAGGCTTGCGCTAGCATGCCCAGCTAATTTTTGTATTTTTAGTAGAGACAGGGTTTCTCCATGGTGGTCAGGCTGGTCTTGAACCCCTGATTTCAGGTGATCCGCTTGCCTCGGCCTCCCAAAGTGCAGGGACTACAGGCATGAGCCATCTCGCCTGGCCAAGCTTAATTATTTTATATGCTTACTAAAGATTTCCTTTGGATAAGATTTGCAACATCTCTGTTCTTACGGTTTTTGAAAATTTTGAAAATTACTATTTTATAAATGTTGAAAACCCTAGTACCTATGTGACTCCATGAATTGAAACAGTTTCTTTCCCCCAGTTCGTTTAGAACTCATCAAATTGAAGCGGCTCCAACCAACTCTGCAAATGATGGATTTAAGGCAAATCTTGTCTTTAAGGAGATTGAGAAGAAACTTGAAGAGGTAAGATTTGTGTAAAATATTGCCAGGAAGGACCTTGAGGCTAGAGGAAGCAGACACAGGTTTCAGGTGTTGCCACGCGGTGGTACAATTGAAAATTTATATCATGTTTTCAATTATTGAGTGTGGTTAGATTTCTGAGTTTCTATTAAGGCTTCCTTGTAATTCTAAAAGAAATGCACTTCAGAAATGTATAAATCTCCAGATTTGAGCTAAAAAACTATGATAAATACTGTTAAAATTGTCACTCTTTTCTAGGTCCTCTTTGTCAGAGGGTTATTCAGTTATGGGCAAAGTTCAAATGTAAAGGGATTCTAGTTTATTTTGGTATAATTTCCTTTGAATTAAAAAGGTCTTACTTAAAATCATTCCAAAGAATAATATTTAAAACGAGCCTTTTTTGTACATAGATCAAAATTCTTTGTAAAAAGAAATTGTGGTTTGATTTCTTAAAGTAGTTAAAATTTTTTTTTGTTTTAAAAATGATGCTAGGGTAAAAAATTTATACTATACAGAAATGTATGTTTATGAATAATATAAATTTTATACTATACTTTTGTTTTAACCTTTTAAACAAAAGTTTAAAATCTCCCCAAATTCTGCCACTCAGAGTTTACTGAAATGTTAACAGTGGTTAACATTCTTTCAGACATAGACATCTCTCTCTGTGTATATTAACTTATAGTTTTAAGCTAGGGTCATATAATACCTGTTGTTTTGTTGTTTTGTTTTGTTTTGAGACAGGGTCTTGCTCTGTCGCCAAGGCTGGAGTGCAGTGGTACCATCTTGGCTCACTGCAACCTTCACCTCCCAGGTTCATACAATTCTCGTGCCTCTGCCTCCTGAGTAGCTGGGATTACAGGCGCCCACCACCATGCCAGTCTAATTTTTGTATTTTTAGTAGAGACAGAGTTTCACCATGTTGACTAGGCTGGTCTTGAATTCCTGACCTCAAGTGATCCACCCGCCTTGGCCTCCCAAAGTGCTGGGATTATAGGGGTGAGCCACCACGCCCACCACAACACCTGTTGTTTTTTGTTATACTATATATGCTGATCTATTTTTTATGTACAATAATTAGTTCTTGATAGGTAATAGTCATACTAAGGCAATCTAAAAATAACTCTCCAGGCAAAATTGATATTTATTTCATTGTTTTAAACTTAGAGGAATCTTGGTATCTCTTTCTTTTTTTTTTTGAGACAGAGTCTCACTTTGTCTCCCAGAATGGGAGTGCAGTGGCATGATCACGGCTCACTGCAGCCTTGGGCCCCTGGGCTCAAGTGATCCTTTCACCTTGGTCTCCCAAAGTGTTGGGATTACAGTCATGAGCCTCTGCTTGGATGTATTTCATTATTGATTTTAGATCTCAGACCATACAAGGCATGGTTACAGCCATAATCACAATGCAAATTACACATCTATTAAGGTGATCAAAGTGGGCTCGAATAAATAGAATGTTTAAACTGTATTTCACTACATTAGAGTCATGGTATGAAAGGCAAACATTGTGCTTATCTCATAACCCTTATTGTAGGCCAAAGGACTACTTAATATCTGAGATGATTGCACTGTGGATGGGAATACAGGTGATATAACTGATGTGTCTTGTGAAAGAACCCAACATTCCCAGGACTTTCATTATAATCTGCAAACATCCTGAGGGAGAGCAGGGCTAGCCATTGGCCTAGAAGCCGCAGACCTGTCCTGCAACCATCTTGGGATGCATCCACATGGGGCTACCTATTTTATAACCTATGTTTTTCTTTGGACAGTATGTTCCATGGCCATAATCTAAATCTTTACCCTCTTTTTTTTTTTTTTGAAACAAAGTCTCGCTCTGTCACCCAGGCTGGAGCTCAGTGGCACCATCTTGGCTCACTGCAACCACCACCTCCCTGGTTCAAGCGATTCTCGTGCCTCAGCCTCCCGAGTAGCTGGGATTACAGGCACGTGCCACCACACCCAGCTAATTTTTTATTTTTAGTAGAGCCAGGGTTTTACCATGTTAGCCAGGAGGTCTCTATCTCCTGACCTCGTGATCTGCCTGCCTTGGCCTCCCAAAGTGCTGGGATTACAGGCATGAGCCACTGTGCCTGGCCATTTACCCTCATTTTTAATACATAGTATGTATTCATATGTATTTGTCATCATTTAAATAGCTTACTGTGATGAATATCAGGTTGTATTTAACATTTTCAAGTAAAACGGTGCTGTAATAAATTTCCTTTTGCACTCATATTTAAGTATTTAAGCTATGATCAATTTAATATAAATAAAGGAGGAAAATTGTTGGGTGGTTGGCTATGTGCATTTTGTATATTGATACATATTGCCAAACTATACCAGAAAGAGGGTACTAATTTACAAACATTACCAATTCATGAGAGTGACTATTTTTTCATTTTAAAAAATTTATTTATTTTTATTTTTGTAAAGATGGGGTCTTGCTGTGTTGGAGAGTAACTATTTTTACTTCACACCTCTGATACTGTGTTAGCTGGTTTTTAAAAAATCTTTGGGCCGGGCACAGTGACTCACCCTTGTAATCCCAGCATTGTGGGAGGCTGAGGCGGGTGGATCACCTGATATCAGGAGTTCAAGACCAACCTGGCCAACATAGCAAAACCCTGTCTCCACTAAAAACACAAAAATTAGCCGGGCATGATGGCGCACACCTGTAGTCCCAGCTACTAGGGAGGCTGAGGCAGGAGAATCGCTTGAACCCAGAAGGCGGGGGTTGCAGTGAGCCGAGGTCATGCCACTGCACTCCAGCCTGGGTGACACAGCGAGACTCCACCTCAAAAAAAGTAAAATAAAATAAAATAAAAATAAAAAGTCTTTGCCAACCTAGTAGGAAAAAATATCTCATTGTTTCTTGAACTTCTTTCATTATAAGTGTTCCTATAAAATGAAGTTGCACTCTATAAAGTCTCAGCTTAAAAGTTTTGGTTTTTTAAAATGCTGCCAATATATTCCTGCAGAAGAACACATAGGATAGTTGTGTCTGACAAGTTGCTTCATTTATTTCAACCCTATTCCATCTGAAAAAAAATCAAATAAATTAATGTAGAGACTATCTACTATGAAGTGTGAGGTATGGCAGTGTATCAATCATTGAATACTTCATTCCTGGGATTAACAAAGTAGAGTGGTTTTTATTTTACAGTATTCTTTTAGCCTTGCAAATGTATGCCTCTTGCTCCATTTTTATTCTTTTCTCTATAACCTCCCTACCAACCTTGTTCCCTTGTTTCTTTCTCCTTCCCACGATGGTCAGTTTCCTAAGTGTTTGCAGCACTAGAAAGTTAAAGTCTTGGAATCTTTTGTCAATTCATGCATTTTCTGCATTAGCAAAGGCAGCCTGGCCAAAGATTTTATTTCCACTTCTGTCTTTGTTAGCAATTCTCCATTGCCCTTCTTTGAATTTTGTCTTAATTTTTTGTCCCTGTTAAGTCTGTGATAGAACCTACTCCTTAACCTTTTGCCTACTCAGAAAAAAGTACTTTTCTTCAAGCAAGGAGGCACTCAGAACTTTCTTAGTACTAATGATCTCCAATTTCACAACTGTATTTTATTTTCCCTTTTAACTCTCTCTCCTCATCAGTTTCCTTACCCTTGCTCACTCCCCTACTTCAATTGAAAATGTTTTATTGTCCAAGGGATGTGATTTTATAAGAGGATCAGTTGTTTCTGAAAAGTAACAGCAAGTACAAATTATTCTCTTATCTATTTTAAGGAGGTGGGAGGATAAACAGTAAGGTTATAGGAATTTCTCTTCAAGTATGCAGGTAGAATTTCTAAATGTTTGCTGGTGTTTTCCTGCTGTAACTTGTTGGTGTCTGCACATAGCTGTATTCCTGAGGCACTGTGCAAGCAGATGGCATGGATGCACCTGGAAATAGTCATTCATGGGCCTCTGGCCCTAGAGGAAGCCTTCCTCTCTCAGGTGGCCTAGCACACTAATGTTATTAACCCCCTCTCATAGATTATTTCCACAGAACCTTGAGAGAGAAAAGATTTTAAGGAATGTGAAGACTTTGAACTTTCTTCGTTTTATGGTGGCAGATACAGCTCTGCTGTCATTGGCTAAAGTTTAGAAATATTGATGTGACCTACCGTTTCAGTGTGGTATGGTCAAATGGAAGTAGCATTGAATTTGGGATGAAAGCAACCTGGGATTGAGTTCTGGTTGTACTACCCACTAGCCATATGTCCCTGCCTCTCAGGGAACACAGAGTTCAGTGGGACGAGAGACATGGAAAAATATTTCCAGAAAAAAGTAACATGGGTTTATGTGCAGAGGGCCATCGAAGTATCTGGTGGAGATAGAGACTCCTTCCCAAAAGAGTTAGCATGTGAGCTGAGACTTGAATGAGGAGGTCAGGGGTGGGAGTGGAGGCTAGGAAGAAGTGAGTGTCCTGGGATGGGGTAGGAGTAAGGGCATGGAGGCATACAAGCACATGGCACATAAGTTCATGGAATTCAACATGTTCATGGAATTCAAAGATGAAGAGGAAGAGAAAGTGGCTGGAGTTCAGACAAATATCCTTCAGATCATGAAGACTCTAGGATAATATGTAAAGACAGACTTCATCCTGTTGACGGTGAGGAGTCACCAAGAAGTTTAAGCCTGAGAGTGCCAGATGGATATGTTAGTGTTAGATGGACTACTTGGCAGCAGTATAGAGGAGAAGCATTCTTAATCTTTATGAGCCTCAATTGCTTTTTCTGCTTAATGAGCTAATATTAATGTCTGCCCAACTATTTGTATGGTTTTGTGAAGATTAAAGAAATTATATATACAAAAGTATTAAAAACTTGAAGGCCCCTCAAAATAATTAGTATTATTGTTAGTAGTTTTTTCTACAGTTAACTTAAAATAATTTAAATGAGCTCTTTTAAGGGAAGCCAACATAAGAGAATTTCTTTTTCACTTAAAAGAAAAACCTGACAGTCATTTTCATTTCTTGGTTTAACTAGAAATTACTGGTAGTTAATTT